TCTGTAGAACCTCTGTAGGACCTGAGGTTCTGTAGGACCTCTGTAGAACCTCTGTAGGACCTGAGGTTCTGTAGGACCTCTGTAGAACCTCTGTAGGACCTCTGTAGGACCTGAGGTTCTGTAGGACCTCTGTAGAACCTGTGCAGAACCTGAGGTTCTGGTTCTTGTAGAACCAACAGTCAGATGTGTCGTGTGTCCTGCAGGAGGCGCTCTGTGACCCACACGCAGCTGATGCACGATAAGAGCCGGACTCTGCAGGACTTCAGGAGGCGGCTCTGGATCCAGGAGCTCCTGGGGGTCCTGCACACGGCAGAGACCCACAACACGCAGACTGGGACCAGTACTGGGGGGGTGGGCCTGCCCGGGGTCCACCCCAGTACTGCTGGGACCGTCCCCAACTCCAAGCCCACCGGAGGAACCAAGAACCTCCCCGTCAGCTCGCAGCCAGAGGAGGACGAGGACTCGGTCCTGCCCCAGGAGACCAACAAGTCCCAGACCTACGAGGGACCCCTGAAGGGTCCCGGCAGGAGGAAGAAGAAAGGGAGGTCCGGGAGGAGGAGGGAGGAGAGGAGGAAGAGGAGGGAGCGCTCCATCCTGAAGGATGAAGATGAGCCTGGACTCCACCTGGTGTGGAGGTCTCTGCTGGACCTGAGGAGGGTCCAGTGACACCGTCAGACCCTGACCACGGTGAGTCCCAGCTGGACCAGGACCAGGACCAGGACCAGGACCTGGGGTCAGGTGTTGTTTGGTTGTGTGACCTCTGACCTTGTGTTCTTCTGTGGTTTGTGTTGCAGAAACATCTGGACTCCTGAACTGGTGACGTTTGGACAGAAACTTTATTTATTCTTGTAAATAATGAAAACTGACAGAATTCTTTCTGTTTCTATTTATTTGATCTAAATCTTGTATTTATTACTCAAATCTGGAGCTATTTTTCTACCATAAAGCACTTTAGATCTTCTGTGTTCTGCTCCTGGTCTGGACCCGCTTCATGGTTCTCCACAGTCCTGGTTTTTGGACAGAAACCGGCTCAGCTGGACCCAGCTGGACCTGACCCGGCTCAGCTGGACCCGGTTCTGTATTTTTGGCTCTTGCACTGAATGAATTAAACGCTCCATGTATCAAACTGTTCTCCTGATTATTGAAGAGTAAAAAAATGTTGAACTGAGAAACAAAACAGGAAAAATAAATAAATAATTAATAAAAATATAAAAAAACATTTCAAAATAAACTCAAACCATCAGGTTAAAATCATCTGTTTAGTTTGGATTCTGAGATAAAACAAATAAAAACAGATAAAAC